CGGTAAAACTGCCACCACCCGTGGGGCTGGGCCCCAGGAGACCCCCTCACAAAGCCCCGTGGCATCTCCTGGGCACGGGAGGCCCAGCATCCCTGTTTTCCCAAACCTCCCTTTCTATCCGGGTAACCCCTCTTGCGGCCCATTGTGCCTGGTCATGGGTGGGATGAGCACCTGGCTTGTATCCACCTCTGCGTCCTCTTTCTCCACAGCCATTGCCATCACTGAGCAGCCAGTCTCTGTCTCCATCCCCGTGGGATACTCCTTCACCCTGCGGTGCAGAGCCAAGGGACGCACATGTCTGCAGTACCAGTGGTTTTGTCAGCACCAGGTAAGGGTGGGAGCTGAGGTGACCTTGGGTACGACACCAGGCTGGGTCCCTGCTCACAGTCATGGAGCTGACCAGACCTGGTGAGAACCAGGCGGCTAGAAGGAGAGGGAGGTAGGATGTGTGTGTACACCAAGTCCTGCAGATGATGGGAGGGGGTGTGCAATGGAGAAGCACCTCCTGCCTCACTGCAGCTGGAGGAGGGTAGGAAACCAGGGATTTCCACTTTTCCTGCTCTTATGAGGTGCCTTCTACTACCAGCGGGGATGATGAACTCACTGCCCACCACCTATGTGCCAGCAGTGTGCTATTGCAGCCTGGAATGCCAACTGTGTCCTGGGCTGCATCAAGAAGGGTACCCAGCGCGTTGACGGAGGGGATTGTCCCCCTCTACTCTGCCCTTGTGAGGCCCCATCTGGAGTACTGTGTCCAGGTCTATCTGGAGTACTGTTTCCAGGCCTGGAGCCCCCAAAACAAGAAGGATGTTGAGCTGTTGTAGAGGGTCCAGAGGAGAGCCAGGAAGATGATCCAACAGATGGAGCACCTCTCATGAAGAAAGGCTGTGGGAGCTGGGCTTGTTTAGCTTGGAGCAGAGAAGGCTCCAGGAAGACCTCATTGCGGCCTTCCAGTCCCTGAAGGGATCTTAGAAACAGGAGGGAGGGTGACTTTTTACGTGGGCATAGTGATAGGACAAGCGGAAATGGTTTTAAACTTGGAGAGGGGATATTTAGGGCATGTTAGGAGGAAATTTTTCACCCAGAGGGTGGTGAGACACTGGAACAGGTTGCCCAGAGAACTGGATGCCCCATCCCTGGAGGCATTCAAGGCTAGGTTGGATGGAGCCCTGGGCAGCCTGATCTAGTGGTTGACAATCTTGTCCACAGCAGGGGGTTTGGAACTGGATGATCTTTAAGGTCCCTTCCAACCCTTCTATGACTGATTCTATGATTCTGTGTTTTTCCTTTAGTCTGTCTGCCGCCAGATTCCTGGTGCCACCAAGGAAGACTTGCCCATCACTGCAGAGCAGACCCAACTTTACACTTGCAGAATCAATGACCTCTACAAAAATGCCGTCTTCTCCGACTGGGTGAAGGTGGAGGTCCATCATTGTGTTGCCAGAGGTACAAGTGTGTCTTCTAGCTTTTATCTATTTTATGCTTTGTGCAGACATTGCATACCCCTGCAGTGATAATCTTTTGTGGACTGTGTCCCCTCCTAGCTCAAAAATCACAATACAGAAGGATTGCTTCAGCAACATGAGCTTGGAGGTCTAAGCCAGACCTCTGTATCCATCCTCTGGATGGTTCAGATCCCTGTCATGGTCCAAATAACCCCAGCTGGATGTACCTGCTCCTCCTGCTGATCACATGCTGTGGGTTTCCCAGAGTTATACTGGGTGTTTGTCCATTTGCATTGGGCAGAGGGACTGGAAGAGGCAATCTGGCTATTTCAGAGCTGAGCAAAAATAACTTCAGGTGTGGCTGACCTCAGCATGTTGACTTTCCTTCTCAGGAAAGAGCGAGTGTCGGGTTTGAGAAGCCAGAGGCGGGGCTTTGGTGTGTCAGTTACTATCATGTGTGTTGCTCTCAAGGATTCTCCCAGAGCAAAATGGCACAGCGGTGATGTCCCATGGGTTGTCTCCATCTCTTGGTGTGGGTGGGAAAAGCTCACTTTTCTGGCAATATGTAGAGTCCTATACAGGGGAAAAAAATTACCATTGTTTTCTGTCTTTGCGGAGGGAGGACCAATCCTGTGTTGCTGCTTCGCAGGTCTGCCCCCTCAGCTCTGGCAAGGAGAACCAGTCATCGTCCTCAACCCCACTGAGCAGCAGGTGGAGGTGGGGAAGCCACTACAGCTGCAGTGTGCTGCCATGGGGGTCCCAGCCCCCACCTACCAGTGGTACCGGAATGGGAATCTGCTGGAACACCAGAAGAAAAAAAAACTCTGGGTAACGTTGACACTAAGCTGGGAGGAATGGCTGATACACCAGAAGGCTGTGCTGCCATTCAGCAAGATCTGGACAGGCTGGAGAGTTGGGCACAGAGGAACCTGATGAAGTTTGATAAGGGCAAGTGTAGGGTCCTGCACCTGGGGAAGAATAACCCCAGGCACCAGGACTGGTTGGGGGCTGACCTGCTGGAAAGCAGCCCTGAAGAGAAGGACCTGGGAGTGCTGGTGGATGACCAGTTGACCATGAGCCAACAAAATGGCCCAAGAAGGCAAATGGTCTCCTGGGGTGCATTAAAAAGTGTGTGGCCAGCAGGTCGAGGGAGGTTCTTCTCCCCCTCTACTCTGCCCTGGGGAGGCCGCATCTGGAGTACTGTGTCCAGTTGTGGGCTCCCCAGTTCAAGAGAGACAGGGGTCTTCTGGAGAGAGTCCAGCAGAGGCTACAAAGATGATGAAGGGGCTGGAGCATCTCTCTGCTGAGGAAAGACGGAGAGAGCTGGGTCTGCTTAGCCTGGAGAAGAGAAGACTGAGAGGGGACCTTATCAATGTTTATAAATACCTAAAGGGTGGGTGTCAAGAGGATGGGGCCAGACTCTTCTCAGTGGTGGCCAGCGATAGGACAAGGGGCAACAGGCACAAGCTGGAACACAGGAGGTTCCATGTAAACATAAGGAAAAAATTCTTTACTGTGTGGGTGTCAGAGCCCTGGAATAGGCTGCCCAGGGAGGTTGTGGAGGCTCCATCTCTGGAGAAGTTCAAAACCCGCTCTAGGTGAACCTGCTTTGGCAGGGGGGTTGGACTAGGTGATCTCCTGAGGTCCCTTCCAACCCCCACCATTCTGTGATCCCATATTCTGTTGCCTTGGGATAGTTCAGAAACTCTGGCTGTTGAGGTGGTGCTAGAAGCTCGTTGCTGGATAGCAGGCACGGCACAGCCTCAGAAGCCTTGGAGACACTACTGAAAATTGTGTTATTGTCATCCTGGATGTGACAGGTGGCAGCCCTTAAGCCTGGCTCGTACCTGCATGTCAAGGCTTGGGCGTGCTTTGATCTGTGTGACCAGGTGACAAGGAGAAAGCATTCTGTCTTTGCCTGTCCTCCCCATCTCTCCAGCCCTTGAGAAGCAGCCTCATGCTCAGCTCTTTCCTTGCCATGTTGCAGGGTTGTGAGAAAGCACTGCACGAATCACCCCTGTTCCTTTGACAGCTGACTGAAGGACTCCAGCTGAAGAGGGAATACATTTTATGGGCTTCTTTCAAAGCTGTGGCTGTTTCTCAAAGAAGTAACCAATTCATAGATATGTCAAGGGCTCTCAGTACATCTCTCATGCCTCTTCACAGCAGTGGCCCAAGAACGGTGATTGTCTGTCTGTGCAGGGTACTGGGGAGTGATGGAATTGCAGGAGTGCTGTCTGTCCACAGGAGACCTAGAAGGAAAAGTGGTTAGCCCTGAAAGAAAAAGGTTAAGGAGGAAGCAAAAGGTCTGGGTTTATTTTGGGTCACTGTCTGAATGTAAATCAGTGCTGTCTTCTTGATCCAAGAAAGGCAGATTTCCTTCTGGGGCATCACGTGAAGGGTAACAAAGACAAGAGATCCAATCTCTCTCTCTTCTCAGTAGTGGTAGGTTATATTATAGGGGTCAGTGGCCTCAGATTGCACTTTTAACAGGGAAGTTCAGGCTGGCAATGAGGAAGTTCTTCATTTGAAGGTGGGTGGTGCTGCACTGGAGCCAGAAAGGCAGCGAGATCTCTGTCCTTGGAGGTTTTCAGTACTTGACTAGACAAAGCCATGGCCAATCTGACCCAGTGGTGGCTTTAGTTCCCCTCTGAGTAGGAGCCTGGGCTGGAGAACCACAGTGCTGCTCTGATTCTTGTCCCATGTCAAGAGAGATGGATAAGAGCTGCAAACTTGCCAGAAGAGAACAATGGGCATGATCAGAAATCTAGAAAATGTCTCCTAAGAGGAAATACAGTCAACCTTCTGATGTTGGCCATGTACCGTCCTCCCAGTGTGGCTCCTGGGGCAGAGTATGGATATGACACAGGGTTCGAGGGCTGCTGGAAAAAGGAAGGCAGGCATTTGGGCAGAGGATTCTTGCTCTCCAGAAGCTGGGATCATCAGTAGACCTTAGTGCATGGCCTTACTGAGCTTCTTAGAATGACAGAAGTCATGGGAAATCTCTTAGCTTTGTGAGGCAAGGAACGAGGTCTCAGAAAACAGCAAGAAAAATGACTTTTTATTCCAGGAATATAGGTGCCTTGTGGCAGGAGCCAACAGATTTTCACCATAAATAATGTGATTTAACTTTTGATCTGTCTAGATCACCCACGCAAAGGTCAGTGACTCCGGTACGTACCTCTGCTGTGCCTCCAATAGCCATGGAGAGCACTGGACTAATGCTGTGGATATTCACATAGGTGAGCAGAACCGACCCACGTCTGCTTTGCTGCAAATCACCTTCTAGCATGAAAAGTAGTTGGAGGGCAGATAGGGATTTAGTGCTCTGGCCTGAAAGTGTCAGGCTAGTGGACAAGGAGCCCAGTGCTGGCACGTTACCCTGTGGCTCAGTTGGCCAGGGGAAGCTGATCCTCCAGGGTGTGGGACTCGGAGAAGTAGGATTTGTGGCTCTAACACTTGTACACTCTAACACTTGTAACCCTGGCTTGGACAGATATTGCATGCTTTTATTAACAAAAATAAAAGCTGCTGGTTTTAAATACCACTTTTGCAGGGAGCTGAAGGGAAGACACTTCGGGGTAGAAAAGCAGCATGGGGCTCTGCAGGGAGGCTGGAGTGTTCTGGCAATCCTGTGTTGCTGTCACGGGAACAGCCTGCAGAGCACAGTTTCACACCCTGGATATACTGGACACGATGATCTCAGCAGAGCTGTGCAGTAGCCCTGTGATAAATAGGATTCCTTGATAACGGGGTTCTGAGGTAACAAGGGAAGTGGCATCTGTAAAACAAAAAATCCCCAAAACCCGATGATCTGCTGTGCTGCAGCGTGGGATGCTGCTGGGTCCTGCAGTCTGTTGGAAAGCTGCCGTGTTAGAGCAGGTTGTGTGCTCTCTGTAATTTTCTTGCCTTTCCAAGGTGTTGGTTTAATAGCTCCCCGGCCAGATCACAGCGGGGTCCTTTGCTAAAACTCATTTACAGCTTTGCTGAGATGAAGTGATGCACTCAGACACATAGAGCTGGAAAGGATGGTATTTATTTTGGGAAGGTTCAGGCCCCTCGGGCTGGTAGCCCAGGCCTGATGCTGTGTGAGCTGATGGATCTCAGGGAGAAGATGGGTCCCCAGAGCCTCGGGCATGTTCCACCTTTGGTGTAGTGGCCGCTTTGGCTCTCTGCCTTTGCCCTGCTCTGAGACAGGAATAGCATGGGCTAGCTTTGCTGGCTCTTTACTCCATCTAGAGATTTTTCTATGCCATAAGCTTCCCATCTTGCCTTTTAGACTGGCTTTAAAAATGCTCCAGGATGCAAATTGATCCTGTATAGCCAGAGAGCGCTCTGCCTGCTTCCTGGCAGCTGGCAAAACAGCGTCCGGGGGGAAAGGTCAGGCAGGGAGAAAGGGGCACAGGATTAGATTGGATTCAAAATGTTATGGCTGAGTAGCTTTAATGTGCAACAGGCAGCTCTGTCAGAGGCAGAAAAGGATGAACAGGATTGTTCTGATGGCTTTCCAGGCACCCCTGGAGCATTATCAACACTGGTTCAGGTGCTAACAGTCTTCCAGATCTGTGAGATTTATACAATTAAAAATATGCCCTTAATTTCTTCTAAAACCTTGTAGGGCTTTAAGGTTTTCTGCTGGGCTGGATTTTTAAAATGATTTTTAATTTAAATAGGAAAAGCTATTTAATTTAAATAGAAAAATTACCCTAACATAAAAACGTTAGGGTAATGATGATTTTAAGAAGCTGGGAGCACTCAGGCAGGGGAGCTTGTATAGCTCGTGAAAGTGAGTCATATTTGGGGTGGCTTTTCTGAGCCAGAACTGGTAAAAGGCAGGGAAAGGCAAAGCAGGGTGGTGAAAGTCTCTGGGAATATTATCACAATCAAAAGCAAACAACCGGCTTCGCTGACTGCTCCTGGGGAGAAGCTCTCTGTTTTAAAGCTTATGTTGTTCTTGAGTCGTGTTTCCTTGGCTTTCACTGCAGTGAGGGAACAGGCAAGTCATCTCAGGAAGTGCAGCAGCCCAGGCAGGGCTGGTGCAAGCAGCGCAGACCTGCTAACGGGTACAAGCTCCTCCGTACTGGCCCTCCTTCCCCTGACCTGACCCTTCTCCAAGCTTTGCTTCCTACCTTTGCTTCTTTTCCATAAATTAGGCAGGATTTAATAAATCCTCCCAAAATCACCAGACCAGTGTCTTTAAGGTTAGCAATCAGGCTGTGAAGAACTTGCCTGGGGAGTGTTGCTTGTGCGGGTGTTTGATCCAGCTTTGCATTGCTAGGCGATGTTGGAGCAGGCTTCAGACCTGAGGTGGGGCTGGCACTGGGGTGCTGGCTGCTGGACACAGACAGAATTTCCCTCTTTCTTTTCCAGGTATGTGTCGCTCTGAAAAGTTTTTCGGTGAGTACTGTCATCTTTTCGTCCTGAGCTATTATTCCCTTAATTAAAAGCCAGGCTCCAGGGTGGATGGGAGGCCAGGGCATAGGAGTGCTTTTCCTGCAGAGACTGTTTCAGGCCTTTATGCCCACATTGTCATGGACTCTGCACTTCTGGGACCACAACTGCAAGGCACAGGATGAGTCCCATCCCCTGCCAAGCCCTGATCAGTCTCAGCAAGTGGAGTACGATCATTCCTAGTAAGTAACCCAGTCTTGACCTCCATGCCTGCCAAATGAGTTAAAGTTGTTGTCCACGTGACACCTTTTCCCTTCCTTGAAGTCCCTTCTTGGAGCAGGGCAAAGCTCCTTGCTCCCACCACTGCTGAGTGCCATAAATCTGCTATTCCTACAGTGGAAAGTGGAGATAAAATGAAAGCAGGAGCCCAGGGTTTCTCTCCTTCAGCTCTGTGGGGGAAAAGACCTCGTAGCCTGGCTCTGTGCGTTCCCCTCCCAGGCACTACTGGCACGCAAGACCTGCAGTCATAGTAGGGCAGGTGCCAAATAGCCTGGGTAGCACTGATCCTCCTGCACTCCTGGGATTTTTGTTGTCCAGTGAAAACTTTTCAAGTCTTCCTTTCAAAATGATGGTTTGTGTATTTTGTCAAAGTGTTCAGATAGCCAAGGGCTTTCTGGAGGGTTGCTCCAGCCTTGTAGTAACACGGGCCTAGATGTAAGAAAAGAGTTCCCATATCCTCACTCAACCAAAGGAGATGAGACCTTGCCTCCTGCTGAGCATTTACAGCTTTGTCACTTGGTGTTTCCGTTAGCTACAGGCAAGATAGCGCTTTTAGTGGGCAACAACTGCTACCAGCATCATCCCAACCTGATGGCTCCCATCACGGATGTGTTTGAGTTGAGTCTTCTTCTGGAGCAGCTGGGCTTCCAGGTTGTCTCCCTTCTGGACCTGAACAAGGCTGAGATGGTGACAGCAGTCAGTCGGTTCCTGCAGCTCCTGGGGAAGGGAGTCTACGGTAAGGCAAAGCCAGTAAGGTGAGGTGGAAGAAGGTCTTTTGATTTTTCCTTAGATGAAAAATTAAGGAGATTGACTGTCAATTGTCCCCCATCATACTCCTTTGAGAAGACAGTAGCTTCTTTTTAGCTGTGACTGCTACAGCTGGCCACAATTTCCTTTTTTCTCTTTCCTGATGGTCTAATTTGAGCCTCTGACAGCCTTTTTGGAGAAGTCGGTTCCCAGCTGCAGATGGCTTTGAGGTTGGGCTTTTTGCTTATCGCACACTGTCCTCAACAGGAAGTGTTCCTCAAACACAAAACCAACCGGCAGATCTTGCGGGTCTTAAAGCAGATGTTCAGATTTGGTGGTGAAAGTAGCTTCTTTGGGGTTTCTGAGGTTCTCCCAGCCTGATGGGTACCCTGAAAACACCAGGCAGATGGTTTTTTTGGTTCTAAACCTTAGCATGAGGCTTATCTTCACCAGCTGTCTGGCCTACCAGGGCATTCAGACAGCAAAAGTCAACACAGGCCAATTGCAGCCTGGCGCTCAGCATGAGGTTTGGAGGTTGTGCAATGGATAGGGGCATGGCCACAAGTTAAATGCTGCAAAGCCACCTCGTTCTGGGAAGCACTGACTCACTCGGGGAGGCTGAGCTGGTGGGAAAGGGCAGTACACGACTGTGACTGCTCTGGCCAAGTGCGTCATCTGATGACAGCATATTCCTATGACTTCGTTTGCAGCTTCCTTTTGTGGTTGCTTGCTGAAATCTTCTTACACCTCAGGCTTTACCTCCTCTCCCAGGTCAGGGTCATCCCTGGAGGGCTGCTGTGCTTTTCCCACAGCGCTGCCGTTCCTGCCCTCTGTCAGTAGTGCGTGAGGACCAAATGGTGTTTTGTCCATGGCGCTTCCCTTGTTTTCATAACCATTGGAGAGAAAAAAGATTTGGAAATGGCAAACCTTTCATGCTGTCGTGCCTTATTTAAACTTCTAGTGTTTTTCTGCATTTGTGGCTACTGATGCTTCCTGGCAAAATTGATTTTGTGCACTGGCAGGGAAAACATTAACAGCTGAGTTACTGAACCTTGATAAGCCTCAAGTGTTTGTTAGGCATAGCCTGCTCTGGATGGTGGTTTTCTTTACAGCTTTCTAAGCTGAGTGGTCTACTATTATTTGGAGGCAGTGAACCCCAGCACAGGCTGGTCTCAGCAGCATGATTGAGTTGAGAACTCTTGATGTAATTGGTGGCATCCAGACTTAATAGTAGGGCGTTGGGTCAGTCTGCCTGCTGATTGCCCCAGGGTTTCTCCGTCTGAATTGTTCTGCCTCTTGCTGTGATGCATCTTCCAGCATTTCTTCAGCTGTTCTCCTTACATAAAATTAAAAGAACCAGGTGAAGTGCAAATCATTGAAATTAACTTGTCTTGTTAATAAAAATGGAAGAAGCTAACAACTCCTCCTAAACCCTGTGTATCATTTTTAAAAGGCACTAGCTCCAGGATAAACATCCAGAACCAAATGAGAGGTTTAGGATTCACATAACTCATAGGCATGGGAAGACAGTGGTGAGACAGCAGCTTCAGGAACAACCTAGGCAGCCTATTAAAACTCCAAAGACCCGAGAAGTGCCTGTGATAGCCAGTTCTGTACATCCATGTGGGTGTCTCAGACATACACCTGCTCAGAGGCATCCTGGTGCTGCCACCTGTTGTTTTTTTTTTCCTCAAATTACCTGGAGGTGCCATTTCCCACCTGGTGGAGCAGCTACCACAGCTGAAGTCAGGAGACATCTGGGTAGGTGTGCGGCACAAAGCAGGGAGGTGGGAGGAGAGGGTTGACTGGTGAAATACTGTCACTGGGGTGAAGTTGGAGACTGATGTAACACAGGGATACCTGTCAGCATGCCCAAGAGGTGCTGGGGCATTCATGCATCTTTCTGCTGGTGCAGATCAGAAGAGAGGACATAGCCATGTGGGTTAGTATTTGAGCACAGTGCTTGTTGTTGCTTCTAGAGTTTTATTTAGCTTTAGGATGCTGGTAAGAGCTGAAGAAGATGTGTCTGACCTCCCTAGACCTCTTTCTTATTGTGGGGCTCTCTGGATGGCTGACCCTCCCTTGCATGTCCTTACTGACCTGTCTGTGATTTACACTCCTATGAGGGTTGGTGGGAAGGGACTTTGGAGTCATCAACACAAGGTCAGGGTTGGTTGTGGATCTCCTTATCAGGTCTTGAAGACTTACAGGTATAGAGCCCCCCGTTTCTCCCCCTGCCCATCCCAGGGCTGCATCACCCTCCAGGGAAGTCTTACCTCCTGTCAAACATCACCCTCCATGGGTTGGTGCTCATTGCCCCATGTTGTATGGTCCACACCAACACAGAGAGCTGGGCTTTGTTGTCTCTCCTTTGTAACTGCTCCTCCAAGAACTGCAGGCTGTTGTTAGACCTCCCTTGACCTCCACACCTCCACATCATCCCAGCCCAGTTTCTTTCCCCTCTCCTCCCAACATCTTGTCTCCCTTGTCTCCAACATCTTGGTAGCCTCTTCTTTTTCCAGCTTCTCCACCTTCCTCTTGAACTGAGGTCCCTAAAACTGGACATAGGATCTAGGTGGGTTCTACTCGGGGCCAAGGAGAGCAGTGACAGCTTCCCTGGCGATCCTGCATCTCTTAGCATAGCTCTGTCCTCAGTAAATGCTGGCTTATCTTCAGTATGGTGTCCACTGTGACCATAGACTTGTGGCTTAACCAGTGCTCAGCCCCAGCCAAAATGCTGCCTGGGGCTTTATGCCCCCATGTGGGACGTCATCCTTCTTATTTTTTAACCTTCTCTTGAGATATCTCATGCCCAGAGCAAAAACTGGCTTCATTTTCAGGCACAGGGATATTGTATGGCTGCACGTTTGAGGTGATCCAAAGGCTTCTCTAATTCACAGTATAGAGGTGGTGGCTCATCTGGCTGCTTTTCCTCCAGATCTTGTCTTAGAAAAGCTGCAGAAGATTTTTGAAGGCCCCAAACATTCCATGAATGATCTAATAATGCAACCCTCAGGCAACCGAGGAATCCCCCTGAATGTTATTTCGAGCATCCTAAAAAGTCCCAAGTCAAAAAAATAATGTCAGAACTGCAACTAGAGCAGAAAGTTGCAAGTGAAATACTAGGAATATGCCGTCATGCCTTAATTAAGTTGCATGCTGACATTTCCTGTATTATAAGCAGTGCCTGAAGCTTCCCCTTTTTAATTTGCTACTCGGAAGTTTGTCTCTGATCAGCAGTTTTGACTCACGAGATGTGGTAAGAGCATTGAAATGTTAGCTTGGAATAAAAAAACCTTTTCCTTCTCTAGGCAGATTGTTGACTTTTCTGTTCAAGAAGAGAGATTAAGTCCAGGAGACGTCTGAAAAGTTGTTCAGCTGATGTGAAACACATCTTTTTTTAGTCTGAACATGAGTCTTTGTGGTTAATATAGCAGAGGGAGCACTTGGCAGTGCATTCAGCATGCACGACAAGACCTCAAAAGTTAGAAGATTTAATGATTTAATTATTCTTTGTGGGCTTTTCTGTAACATTTCAGTTGTTAGTGATGCTGCTGGGTAATGGACGTCATCACCAGGACGTCATTAGCTCCCTTTCATGTACTGGAGGAGAGGCAGAGGGATGAAAATCATCACTGCTTGCTGACTTCAGGGGCCAAACCTGAAGTGCCTACATCTGATTTTTCCAGAAGGCTTCCTATTTTATACTCTTTTCTAGTCTCAGAGGAGGTTTTTGTGGCTTTGATTTGCAAGTTATGAAAGTTTAAAACTTCTGCAAATCAGAGCCCATCGTCTCTGGCTGGCGATTCACAAGAAGAGGAACCCAAACCTTGTGGGCACTTGTGAAAACAGCCATTTGAGTAACTTTCCATTGTCCACTGAGAATAGAAACCAAGGGTGACCTGAGATCATACTTGCCATCCTCCATCCGATGAGATCATGCTTTCAGTCCTTCAGCTCCTGCCCCATTCACTGCATCCCTTGCAGCATCAGAGATCAAAGTGAGTGTCCTGCAAACTACAGGGGCAGGAATAGAAGAATGAAAACAGAGGAGAGGTTACTCAATGAAGCATGGGCTTTGGCAGGGAATCTGACTGAAGAATTGCTCCTGCTTTTCCCTCTTAGCCACTTGTTCCCATTTCTGACCTCTCATTCTTCACTGTCCCTCAGTTGCGGTAGTGCAATTGTTTGTGTCACCTTGCAGAGCTATTTTTAACCCATTTCAGTTCCTTGAGTTTGCTTTCGTCAGCATCCCCCAAGCAGTTGTGTCAGTGCTGGGAAGGGGTAGCCAGCCGCTTTGCACCTTCCCTTCAGGAAGCTATAGCCCACTTGGAGATCCCTGTGCAGAAGGAAAGCCCTTCACTGAACACAGGGGTTGGAGAGAAGCGCCAGCTTGGGACATGCCAAGCTCCTCAGTGCTGGCTTTCCAAGCTGGATGTCTCCATGTTGCCATCTCTTGTGAAGGCAGAAACCTTTACTAAGTTTCACATGTTTAAGAGTAAAACTCAAAACCAAAATTCTTGTTTGATGTTGGACTTCCCACCAACACCTGGATGAGTCTGGCTCCTTTTCTGTCTTATAGGGCTGGTATCTGGCCTGAGGTTGTTGAAGCATGTGGTCCATGTGTTCCAGACATCTCAAGAACTCATCTCTCTCTGTCTCGATCTCATTTTTCACCAACTTATAGATGTGTAAATACAGGCAGATCTTTGCAAGCTGGAGAGTGTTTCCCATCATCTAATCCACTGCTAGTCTCTCCTCCAAAATGAGGAAGCTGAGGAGCTTCTAATTTAAAAGGCTGCTAATGTATTTTTCATCATGGTAAAATACTTTTTCTGTTCTCATATTCTTGCAAGGAGCTGATGATTAACTGAAACTTTGTATAAAGGTGGTATTCAGCCTGGCAAATGCCGAGCTAGGGTGTTGTAGCACAGATGGCTATGGAAATGTGTAAACCCGGTGACTTTGGGGTCTCCTGACGAATGGTGCTGGAAACCACAAGTACAGGAGAGCCTCTCAGGGCTGCTGCCAACTCTGCTGGAGGGAACAAACTGGAAAAAAAGTTGAAATTGTGATGTCAGCATAGCTCCAGTTTCATAGGTGCTACTGGTCTAGGTCTGCCCTAACCCAGTATCCCTTCAGGACAGGAGGTGGGACATGACCATGGGGTAATGGTTACAGAGCTGCAGGTTTGCATCATGACTCTTCCTCTCCTCTCCCTGTTCCCAGCTATATTCTACTACGCTGGTCATGGGTATGAACATTCAGGGAGGAACTACATGGTCCCCGTTGACGCTCCACAACCCTACGCCCCTGAGAACTGCATCAGCGTGCAGAGGATCCTCCAGAAGATGCAGCAGCAGCAGACGGCCCTGAACCTCATCCTGCTGGACACCTGCAGGAAATGGTAGGGTGCTCTTCCCTCTTCCTCACCTGGGATGGCCAAACCGTGGCATTTCAAGGCGTTGGGGGAAACTGCTGCCAGTCTCAGCCCCCACTTCAGCAGTGGGCTTCTGCACAACCACGTAGGGTGTTTCTGTGGATTGCTGGGTGCACGTTCCACGTTTTGCTGCTCTGTAAAAAGTTATCAGGGTGCGTCATAAAATCAGCAAGACTGCCAGCTCTTGCAGGATCTCCTAGTAAGCCCAGTCAGTCATGTGTTGGTTGTAGACAGCATCAGATCCTGTCTGAGATCTGCTGGAGAGAAGGGGCTGAAGACCATCCCTTGATTTTTGGGGGTGAAGAAGCCTGGCAAATACAGGCAAGTCACCTAAAGTCACTCTATTAAGAGTAAGTCACCTAAAGCCTGCAGAGGGCTGGCTCTGCCCTGGCATATATTGTTGGCTGAAACTCAGCAAAGGGCTTGTCTTTCTGTGTTTCAATCCCCTGACCTGGCAGGCTGTACCAGAATCTCGCTGATCTTATGCTCTCATGGTACATGTTGCCCACACACTCAGGCTGGGACTGTTTAGCTCACCTCTCTTCTCCTGGCTGTGTTTTTGTTAACATCTCAGTGAGAAGCATGCAACATGATAGGGAAAATATTTTAAGCCCTGCTGCTTGGTTTTTACTGGCATTAAATGCTTCTGAAGTGGTCATGTCGTGACGTGGGACCCAGGCTGCTGCTGCTGAGGTCAGGGATCAGCTTTTTCCCTTTGTCTGTGCAAAGCCCATCATCCTCCCTTGGCCTGCATCCTACAGCTTGTGTGCTGCAGAAAATTACTACTTGCCCATTTTCGGCAGAGGTGGGTAGACTATTCCAGTAGGAACTGTCATTACTTCATTTATTTTGGTCTCCTGAGGCAGGTTTACAGGTCAACCTGAAGGGCCAGTGCAGAAAAGTCTCTCTCATCTGTGGTTCCTGCACTAAGAACCAGAAAGATGACAGGGATTTTGATACCGCTGCCCTGAAAGAGCTGCTGGTCCCTGGAAACATGTTCAATCTTTGATGCCTTTTGACTGCAGAGATAGGAATGTTTGATTTGAATACCTTACAAGCTGGCTGTGCTGGGACTTCTCCTGCTGCCACAGCTCTGAGTTGCCAGCATTGCTGAAACTTGCTGTCCCTCAATACCTACTCTGAATGCCCCGTAGCGAAGCATCCCCTTCCTCTATCTCATTCATCACTGCCACTGAGAGCAGATTGCATTGCTTCCCTGCACTGCTGAGTACCCCTCGGCACACGCAGCCGTACCTTGCTGCTCTCCCCAGCACCATACCAGGTAGGGAGTGGCTTGTAGCTGAG